TTAAAGATTATTGTGTCTTTTAATGAAGCCTAAGATGAGAACAAAAAGAACATTTCCCCAGAAATGCAAGTGATTTTGCCTAGACACTCTGGCAAGGCTCTTTTGAAAAGAGCCAAGACTCAAAATCTAATTCATGCCTTTCCATTCTGTAAAGTCAAGATTCAACGCAAGTGAATTTTTCCCTTTTATTAAATCCTAACTATTACCTAAAGAAATGCCCCAAATATATAAAGGAGACGATTTTTTTTTTTTTTTAATTAAATCTATGGTTTTGGTCTGGCTTCAGAGTGGAAGTGGAGTAGCCCAATCTGTTTATATATTAAACACTGACAAATCAGCCTGAATCAGGCCTCAGAAACAGTTTTACAATAAAATCCTAAGAACTTGTCACACTGTACATGCAAAACTATAAAAAAAAATTCAAACTGAGCCAACCTAAAAATATAATTTGTTGGAAAACAAGAAATAAATCATTTGATATTTTGGAGAAGTGATAATGTTTGAAAATGAAAACCCGAGAACACCAAACATATTAAGCAAAATCTATGCTTATATTTAAATCTGGCCAAGAGAAGTGAATACTGTTCCAAAAGAACTGCAGTACAAAGTATCACATCCCACTCGTTTCTGGAAAGAAATATGCTGCAGTAAGAACCCATGTCACGTAATTCATTTAAAAATTGATTAAAAGTTTAGTACTAACAAAACATCTGGAATGACAGCCCTACTCATCACTTTAGTTACTGAGTAATTTCAGCTTAGGTGCCCAGATATTCTCTTGCACCTATGTTTGCTCCCTTGGAGGAACCATACGCAGGAAGAGTCAGGCTCTGCGCTCCTTTGGTTCTCTTCCCCACAGAAAGTCAGAGCAAGGGTTCCACAATTAGTGCTGACTGTAGAGTCCCTGGCAATGGGCTCACCGGTACGCAGCCTGTCAACAAAAGCCTCTGCATGCACAGAAAAATGCTTTCCAGTGTTTAGACTCACTGTTTAATAACAACCCCTAAAAAAATAAAAAGTGATGTCAACTTCCTGAATTACACCCAAATAATGAGTAATGAACTACAGCAGATGTAAACCTTGAAGACAGAGCAGTATTAGTAGCCAGAGTAAGCTAATTACATCTCGCTTCGCTCAAGGAATCTGCATTCAAACAGCTTCCTCTGCACAATTCCCTCTTTTACTTGGTTTACAATAGATAAAGCAATTGATAATCAGAAGTTGGGTAAATTTCTATCTGGTAAATTCACTTAAAATGCAGCGGGGTTTATCACCAATTCATATCAAACCTGAACACTTGTGATTACTGGGAATAACAAGAAAGAGTAAAACAAAAAATTCACCCTGGTTTCAACAGTGTCGGAATGGAATTAAGATGATATAAATGAAATTATATTTCCTGCTCAATGCCGTTACCAAAACAAACACTTTTGCTACAAAAAGAAATGTAGAACATTTTTGGTAACAACTACAACAAGAAGTTCATTTCCTACAGATAATAAATGGCACAACAAGGAGTGCTGAAATCCAGCCTCTTAAAAATCAGAGTTCATTTATTAAGGAATGCTTTCAGTAAACAGCACCAAGGAGCTCTGAACCAAGCCATGAAGTAGGGATTATTGTGTGAGAAGCTGTCACTGTGGAGATAGCTGATTTGTAGTCAACCACAGGACTGCAGCTCATGCAAATGAAACTCAAAGCAGTTTTAAACCAACCAGGACACCTCCTGATGACACCATGGAGCTTCTGAGCAGGCTCAAAACCGATGGAGGAACCTGGGTGAATATTCAAGTAGCTGCCCTGTTCTGAGCTCCAGTTTGCCACGGCTACGTTCCCTTGCACAGGCGAATTAACACGGAGGTTCACTTATCACACACACACATACTCTCAGCCTCCCTGATGACACATAATCAAGAGGCTAGACGAAGAGCTCAAACGATAAAATACGAGTCATTTTGCAGGATATTAAGCTTAATAAATCACCATATGCTGTTTAATGCTCTAGTTACTGGAGTGGCAGCAAATAAGAGATTCAACAAACGTTGAGCATTTTTACGAGACGGAAAAGCAGGGCTACAAGCATGGCAATAAGGGAGAGGATTTTTAATTAGGAAAGAACTAGAACCCAAAGTAAAACAAATATTCGCAATAACTGTGCTAAGTTTAGCAAATATCTTTATGAGGCTGTGGTGAGATTATACCGACATTTTCAGACGTTATTGTACTGACCACTTCTGGTTCATCACTGCACATTAATGTGGTTTAACACATTCTTCCACCACGTTAATTATACTAAGCCCACTGTATGTACTTAAGCTAGCCAGCCCTTAATGGACATAGAGCCTTGCTGCACCTCTAATTACTCTTCTTGATCACTTCTGCCAGTACATGCATTATCTGAAAGCATATCTTGCTTGCTTTCTTCCTTTTTTTTTTTTTAAAGCAATAATCTAAAATTTAAAACCATTAAGTCAGGCACTCTGAATTATTGGTTTGCAAAATCCCAGAGTTCAATGGAAGATTGGGAAGGGCACAGATGATAAAAGTAATTTATGATGCTACGGTTCTAAAATTTCTAGATCAGTTAGAGAAGGTATCACTCAAGTATTTGAGCCATGTAAAAAACCAAAAGATAAATAACTATACAACAGCAATAACCTCTCAAGCCCTTGCGGTAAAAGCCCTTACCTATATCAGCTGCATACTAGGGTGCTGAATACATTGAAGGATTACAGAAAATCGTGTTGTAGAAGAGTGTCACTATGAGAAGAAACAGCTTGACTACTGGAATAGCCCTCAACAGCTCAACCTGAGATTCACTCTGCTCTATCATTCCATTTGTTTTTGTAGGGGCTATTCACCTTTGAACAGTAACCCAAATTTTCTAAACTAGAATGAACAAAAAGTTTAAGCAACACCATTATTTCAATATTGAATAGGGAAAAAAAAAACCACCCACCACCACAATTTCATTGTAATACTGCCTATGAGCTGTAAACAATGCAGTTATTGTATAAACAAAATGACTGATATCTTTGGACACAATTCAATGTAAACACTGATTGTACAGAAAATAATGAAAATTAGTAAGTTCATTCCTACCTTATTGTTTCTTCTATCAGTCGATCTGAGCTGAAAGCCAAAAGAAAAAAAATGAAGTTAAAAAAGGAACAAGCACTAAGCATTATTTTAGATTATTAAATCAAAGATCTCCATAATATAATCCTTAACAAATTTGCCCTTAGAACGTCTTATTTCAGGATGTAGTCACTTTTTGCTACTATATAGATTTCGTATATATGAGAGTCTTTGGAGAAGATGCACGTAGTGTCCTCTAGAGCAGCATTTCCTAACTGCATGCAAGAGCAGATGCTCAGAACACATAAAATACTGAGAAAACAGAAAAAGGGGAATGGTTTCCACGATTCATGGCTAATTAACGTTAACTGAGCCTGATGTGTACCAGGAGCCCAGGACAGTTTGGAAAGGAGTATTAGAGAAGGAAGTACCTATTTTTTTTTCTCCTTAATCCTGTTCATTCCTGCCCACCCCCTCAAAAAAAGCAATTAAAAATAAAAGCTGAGGCTTGGTTCCAGGTAATAACATCTCAAAACACTGCTTCAGAGCTAGTTCACCAAACACGGGTTTATGGTGGTTAAAGAGGCAAGCTCTTTCTGTAGTAATACCAGTTGGATGAGAATTAAGTGATGCTTATGGGAAAGAAGACACGCCACCTGTAAGAGAAAGCCCTTGATAACATGTGCCCCTTCCCCCTCGCTGCCACACATTAATCGAGTTTCTACATAGCCTCGCTGGGAAAAGGACAGCCTAAAATACAGCACCACAGAGAGAACACTTCATTTAAAAACGGATGTGCGAGATTAAGATGACAAACAAGATCCTCAGAAGACTTGAGTAATTTCTCTTTTTCTGTACTCAACTTGTTATAGACAGGTTTTTAATCACTGTTTTACAGCCAATTATGAAATCCCAGAAAAAGATATCTTGTTACAGCAATCAATATCTTAAATGTAACACTGACATAGAATAGGTGACTGCATCCCTGCTTCCCGTATTGCAGAAACAATGATGCATCCCTACAATTGCTCCGTTTACCCCACAGATTTATGCAAACTCTTCTAGAGTAACGGAAGAAAAATGTTAGTTTGCAGTTTAAGAACGAAATCAATCTGACAGAAAGAAGTTTTATGTTGTGCTGGATATTGCTTCCAGTATTAAAGCAGAATTTATGGCTGGCAAACTAAAAAGATTAAAAGACACTGAAAGGGCACGACCATCTTCATCTTCCATCCTCCTTGTTCCAAGTGTTTTGCCACCTCAGAAAGGGAAGGTATCAACAGCCTCCGGCGCAGCACAGTTCTGCCTCTGACTCAGCCAGAGCTGCCCAATTTGGAACTTTTCTTCTACCCACAGAAATTCTGGAGATCCCCCCACACCTCCAGCTGGAGGCACGGCGCAGGAGCATGTTGTGCAGCGTGCGCGTGTGTAAACTGCTCGAGGGGGCGGGGGGAGATGCTAACAGAATGTCCTTATTTGTCTGTGAAGAGGAGTGAAAACATGAAGGTTGCTATTTCGGTCTAGTCCATGGCTTGAAATATGGAGACAGCACACAGAGCACTAAAAATATTTTGCCCAATTTTAAGTTGAGAGGGACTCAACTGGGGCAGCGAACACTGAAAACACTGGAACTGGAACACTTCTTTCTGCTCCCAAAACAAAGCCACACTCCAAAGATTCACATCAGTTGCAAGTACATCGGTTTAATCAAATAAAACCATTTGCATTCACCGTGTGGTATTTATTACCGCTGGCACAGAGAAGTAAAACACCATAGTTATGTACACAAAGTGATGTAAGCAGTCTCAAGTCTCACAGCATCTGATAACGTCCCCAAGGCAAGCAGAAAAGCGACGCATTAAAGATTTCTGTAGTCACTGATACTCAAAGATACAAAATTCAACTGCGAATGTGCCTTTCATACATAGGTAGTCTCTAACAGACAAGTGTATTATGGGGGCAGTGCATAATAAGAACAAACTGCAAAAACAGCAGAAAACAGTCTGAAAAGCAAGAATGGTGCACAAGTATGCACCATTTTTAAACAGTTTTGAGGTTTTTTTGTTGTTGTTTGGTTTTTTTTTTTTAATTTATTAACAACAAAAAGATATCAGGTGCCTAGCTGGAAATAAGTCAAGACTTCTGTGGAACAAAACATTACTAGAACAGTCCTATAAAAAAAACCCTACCCTGGAAAAATCATCACCAGCATTACCAGCTCTTTGTCCATTTAACTGATGAAATTATAGCATTTTCATATTGATGAACTGAAGACGACAGGGAAGTTGAACACATTCGGAGACCTTAAGTGAACTAGGATGTTCTCCAAGGTTTTCAGAGCACAAAAAATTAGGCTTGCCCATTTGCAGCAGAGACACTGACTGCTTTTTATGTTAGAGAAAGCTGTAGTTAGGCAGTTCTATTACTTAATCAGAGACGTAAACACAAAAAGTATTTAAAAGCTTCAGATTCAATTATATTATACTGCATTATTTTTTATAGATGCATGTATGTACACACACACATATAAAATTAAACCCTGGAAACGCAGCTACCTGTAAAATTATGACAGGCAGAAGTTAAAAATGTATAAACCCAGTAATAAACAGTTCTCAATACCAACAAACATGGACATTAGATGCAAATGCCAACACAAGGCATTTAACAGGCCTCTGAAGTCACAAGATCAATGTTTCTCAACTTAGGGGGAGGTCATCCAAACTATTTAAAAGGATGAGATGCATATGGATTTTCTTCAGAATGACTGATATATAGGTAAGGGCAGACTGAACTAACTCTTACAGTCGTACATAAATAGCTGGGAAGCATACAGATTTACTAAACACGACTTCCAGTATGTTCTTCCCACCCCAAGGAGCATCATCTTTTAATGGCCCTGAGAGGATTTCCAAAAAGGGCTCTACTTGCAAGCCTCCAGCAGGTGAACAAACTCCAGCAGAAAACAGCAATGACATTCACTGAAATTTTGGTAAAGGCAGCGTGAGCAGGAACATTTTATGGTAAAAATCTGCGCATCAGAATCCCTCAGACTTCAGTTCAGTACTTCCTGCAAAAGTCCAGTTTAAGCAGACGCTAGAGGCTTGTCTAAAGGCAGTAACATGCACTCCTACAGCATCTCTTAAAGTCTTTCAAAGTTCTTGCAAATACAGACTGTAACATTCACTTACAGTGATATCCAGAAGCGAGCAGTTGTTCCATCATTTTACAGTTCATAACTATAGAAAATAAGTCAGATTTAAGGAAGATCAGGAACACAAAGTACAACGGGGCCCAGAGACCCAAGGGAAGTTTGCAGCTCTGACTATTAATAACCTGTTTTACACAAATAGAAGTTGTTCTCACAATTATGAATAATGTTAATTTCAACTGTTTTGACAGAATAAAAAACAACAACATTGAAAGAGGTAATTTTGCTTAACTTACACATTCAACACACTACAAGTAGAGGCTCTTAAAAGAAAAAAAAAATCTCTTGACTTTGTTCTTCCGCTTTCCAAGCAAACACATTACCTTATGAACATCCAAGCAAGCAAACGATGGATCTGGGCAATATTAATCTGATTTGCCATCTGTTTCAATAAACTATGCATTTTCACCTGTCGAGACAGATAGCACTTTGACAAAGCCATTTAAAAATACTATACAAAAGAAACACTGAAAGATGCTGAGGCAATCACCTACTGTAATAAATGGCACAAATCCAACAGTAGCAGTCATGCGTATGAAATAATCAGGTCTCTGTGCAACTGCTGTCTTCAGAAAAGATTGTGGCGTTTGTCATTTAAATATGCAGACAGGTAAATTAATCCAAAAGAAAAGTTACGTGAAATATGCCTCTAGGATAGGAAAGAAGCCTGCCCATCGCATCAAGCTTTTACAACTAAAGAAAGCATTTTAGGTTCTTCGTTTTTTTAAAGCAAATCTCTATGCCGGTAGTTAAAATTCAGTAATATAGATGATTACTTAGGTAAGGACTGGGCTTCTAACATATACATAGATTTTGCTGTGCTCTTACTAGCTAGATACGCAATACAAGCACTTGTTAGAGAAGAGAGATTCAACAGTAAGACTTATCTGCACACAACTCATTTCACAACGCACTTTAAACCCTCCAGATAAAATTAAGGGCAATATTATCACAAAGAATAATTTAAAAGGATTACAGAAAACCCCTGTAGAATAAACTAATATAGCACTTGATAACTATTTTCTTACTTTCATAAAGAATAATTACAGAAATAATACTTTGTTCTTTCTCTAACTGCAAGATTAATCACTAGACTCAACTCTCTCAAACTGCCTGCGCTAAATCTTTCGTATTTTCACAGTCCTGGATCACCAGGCAGCGTGGAACTTCCAGGAATGCAAATATTGCAAAACATACTTGATATTCTAATACAAATAGACAGATTATGATGAAGCAAATCAGATTTATACAGTCAGTTACTTCCATCATAATAATCATTCCTAACTCACAAGTGAAAGAAACATTGTGCACACAAGCAGAAAAAACCAGCTCCAACTCATTTTTTCTGCTTGCCATCAAGATAACTCATCATCTAAAAAAATTCTGAAGACCATTAAGCTCTTTAAAAACTTAACTAGAAAAACGTAAAGCAGAACACATTTTTCTCCTGTGATAACAAACAAGATATTCCAGATTGTAGAAGACTCGTCTCATGCTTAATTCAATTCAGCGTCAAAGAAAGAGTGAATTGCACTGGAGCTGCTTCGCTAGTTTGGACAGTCTCCCACAGTTGCTAATGAAGAGAAAAATTGGTGTAGAAGCCTACTCATTGACTGAGACCCAACACAATAGCACGGCAAGACCAACATACCTAGGGTATGGTACCTAGGGTACACCCAGAGAGAAAAAAAAAATTAATAGAGGACTGTGTAGACAACACAAAATTCGCTCCTGTGTTTTTATGGAAGAGCAGAAGTAGCACCTGCTATGAATGCACAGCATGCAACAGCACAGGGAGGAAAAGGAATTTACTTGACTACAAAGCATACATCTTACATTTCCAGCA